CGCTCCTCATCGTCTTCTTTACAGTGTGGGTTTTCGGCGGGGGCACCACGGCCATGCTGTCTTGCCTGAATATCCGGTGAGTGCGGCGTGAGTGGGGCTCTCCTGGCACAGCTCCTCCTCTCCCTTGTCCTGCTCTTACACCTTCAGGTGCTCAGTTTAAAGAGACAAGAGGAAGATTGTGTCCTGCCCCAGGGGAGCATGGCAAGTACCCGCCTGGCATTGCTTGTGTTAACCCTGCGCTTGTTTTCTCCTCCGCAGAGTCGGTGTGGACGCGGATCAGGAGAACGTGGTGAGTGCGGCGCTGGGCAGCCTCTGTAGAGGAATTTTCACTGCGCTCGTCAGTGCTGGGGCTACAGCGAGTCCCTGTGAATGTCTGTCTGTGCTCTGCTCCCTTCCAGCTGTAGGAGAGGTTTCAGCTCCTCTGGTGAAGGCGTTTGCAGTCAGGGGGAGTCATGGCTTTTCTGTGCTTGCTGTGGTTACGATGAGGCTTGCTTCTATTCAGCTGGAAGGACAGACATAGAAGTAACACTGGACTGTTTAGTCAGTCCACATCACCACTGCCATAGATTTGGTCTCTCCCTTGCTGGGAGTTAAATACCAAATACCAAATAAATACCAAAATGTGCATGACATGGAGGCTCTCTGGCTCGTCCCAGTCAGTAAACGCCATTTACTGATTCATTTTATGTGGCATCTTCTGTCCCACTTTTACCCAGGGGTACCCTCAGCCTCTCTTTTGCCCCCACGTTTCCTGTGGGGAGTTATTTGGCAGCCCAGGAACCACCGACTGTACTGAGATAAATGCTGGAGCCCGGTGGCATTGGGATTTTTTCTGCCCAGTAGCCCCGTGCATCTGCAGCCAGGTCATGCTGTGGCTGTGGCTCTACTTGATTTCAGCTGGGGGTTCTGCACCTTGGAGGTTCATTTTTTTCAGAGCCATTTATTGGGCTGTTCACCTCCTGGAGAGAAAGTGTCAAATGCTAAAGGCAGCCCAGAGCCATAAATCTGAAAGCCAAATTTCTGTGAAATATGTAATTGTATTCATAGTCCCCTCCGAACAGTTTTATATTTTTTCTCTGGCTAAAAGGAAGCCAGGAGTCCCCATAACACATGATTATTTGCATATAAAAATCTCAGGTGGGATTTGATGGAGGTTGGACCTGTCAGTCGCTATTAAATGTGATGTCTGGATGCAGCTGGTGGCTCCGAGGCACTTAAAACCTTGGAGCCAGAAACTAGAAGGCTCTAGCAGAAAAATGGTCACTCTGTGCTTTTATAAGCTAAGATAAGCTTTATAAGATTGTTCTATGCTGCTAAATGCAGAGCATGGTGCTGGAAGTACATTCAGCCTGTTGTAGTGTGAATGTCCTTATACTTGCTGCAATCCAAAGGCTTCTTGTGAAGAGGCAGTGGGAAGGTGTGTGTCTTCTTATGTCCCCATGGGGGCTCCTGGCCCTGATGGTGGCCTTGGCATGTTGTCCTGCTGCTGTTCAATGTTTTGCTCTCCCACAGGGTGTCCCGGAGAGTGAGAGGAGGAGTACGAAGGCAGAAAGCGCCTGGCTCTTCCGTATGTGGTACAACTTCGATCACAAGTATCCTTGAACGGTGGTTGCCATGTGCTGTGCCAAATCCTGTCTGCCCAGGCAGCTCCGTTGACTCGGAGCATGACTTGCTCCCTGCTTTGCAGAGGAGACAGTGCTTGCTTTCCTGTCACACTGCTATTTGCACCTCCTGATGTCTGTGGCTGCGAGAAACGACCATTTCCACATGTTATTGGTGGGAACGCAGCAGTAGCTCAGTTCAAAGCTGGGCTCTCCACGGCTGGCAGCCCAGGGGGTCCCTGGTCCAGTGGCAGGCGAGCAGGAGGGACGGGGGTCTTCTCATGTGCAGCCCTTTTGCTAGATTTGCACCTCCCTCCTTGCAAATGCTTTGCCATGAATTAGTGGAGGAGTGATTTGCCAGAAGAGGCACAGGACAACGGGATGGGTGATGCTGCTGAGCCTTTTCTTAACAGGATGGAGTCCTGGTCCGCTCATCTCCTGCGCATTGCCCATCACTTTAATTTTTGTGCTTCCAGGGACTTGTGTTTCTTTAATTCCTGTGATTTCCTGGAGAAACCGAGTTCCTCGCCACTGCCTCTGCATCCCACCCCTTGACTTACCGACATGGCCCTATTCCTCTTTCTTCCTTAACCCTCTCTGTAGCTATCTGAAGCCTCTGCTGACGCACAGCGGTCCTCCTCTGACGACCACGCTCCCGGGCTGCTGTGGGCCGATTGCCCGGTGCCTGACGAGTCCACAGGCATATGAAGTGAGTCCATCAGTGTCCTTTCTGTCGCGGTGTTGGTGGAGTTTGACATGTTTACGTGGCATAGCTTTTGGATGCTGCTCTGCAGCATGGAGCTGGGAGCCTGGGGGAAGGTCAGATACTGGGGCTGATGGATGAGCTAATTCCCGTGAGCATTTTGCTTTTCCAGCTGACTGTTTGGTCATGAAGGAACTTGTGGTGTATTCATGGGCGTTCCTCAGTGACTGGCTCAATGAAGCTGTCATGGGTGTCCTTCCCCAGGCCCAGCTGGAAGGACACAGTTTCCCCATCCCCTGCTTGCTTCCAGCCTTGGAGCTGAGCCGTTCCTGCAGCCCCTTCCGCTGCATCACTCACAACTGAAAAGGTTGCCAGCATGTTAATCGGGGCTGATTTTCTCCTGAAATGGTAAAGAGCCCTTGTTTGAGCAGCTCAGAGAGGCAGGGAGATGACGAGCAGCTGTGGTGAGCCCGCAGGCAGCGACCTCCTCCGCCATCGCCGCAGAGCCTGCGTGCATCCCTGCCCTTTGAGGAGCTGGGGTTGTCATCAGGCTCGGCCTCCCATGGCTCTGTGGGTTGCTGATGCTGGCACAGCTCTCCGGCAGAGCGTCAGCACTTGGGCACGGCTGTGCCAGAAGCCCCTTGCAGTGGCAGCTCAGTGTCAGGAGTTCTCGAGCCTTGCCTGCGAAGTATCAGCATCAAGTTCCCTGCAGAGAACAGACATGGCTCTGATGGGTCGGCAATGCGATTCCTGTGGTTGTGGGTATTTTAGTCCAGTCAAAGCCACTCAAAACTGCATTCCCCGTGTATCTGGCTACGGCATCAGAAAGAAGAACTGAGAGAGCCCTGTTAGGCAGTCTGCAGAGAAGTTTGTGTGTTGTGCAGGTCTCCTGAGCTCAGAGATGTGTGTGTGGCACATCTGGTTGTGGTCACGGTGCAGGAGAGTCTGTGATTCAGTGCCTCTATCTGCTTATTCACTGCCACCGTGCAGTTTCAAACACAGCTATTCAGGAAGAGTTAAACAGCACTTTCCTCCTGTTTTTTTTCCCAGAATCAAGAGCAGCTGAAGGATGATGACTCTGACCTCATTTTGAATGATGGAGACATCAGTCTGACCTACGGGGATTCCACCGTCAACACCGACTCTGTCGCATCCAGCGGCACGTCGCGGAGGTTCGTGGGAAACAGCTCTGAAGACGCACTCGATCGGGAGCTTGCTTTTGGGGACCATGAACTCGTAATCCGGGGAACACGCCTGGTCCTTCCCATGGACGATTCAGAGCCACCGTCAAACGTCCTGGATAACGCAAGACATGGTCCGGCATAAGGTTGCTTGGTTTAATTGACAGTAATATTTGCATATATGATCAAGAAATATGTACTACCTAAAGTCTAATGCATGTCTCAAAATGTCTAAGCTGTATAAATATTATTTATATGGTGTCAGAAGAATATAAATATTCTCTGCCAAGCACTTGTAAAGAACAAGCTGCAAATTTAAGTTAAAAACTGTGTTGACTGCACTGTGTAGGGTGGAACTGTTTTAGTGTAAGAGTCTTTTGCACACAGTGAGCTGCTTTAATCTGTGAGTTGACGAAGAGTTTAGTTCCCAGTGGGGTAAGTAAAGGAGCTGCCTCCCTGTTCATCCTTTGAACCTGGGAGAGGAGGGTAGGGAGGTGCTGGTGAGCAGTGGAAATAGCTTCTGTTCAGATGAGGATTGGGGGTTTTTTGTCTCTGATCTTTGGATAGTCACATATGAAATATCAGCGAAAAATCTGCCCACAGACCCTCTTGTCAGGCGGCAGCCAGTGATAAACTTGTTTGCTTTGTGGGAACCCGAGCTGGGACCTGGAGACTCTCTGCTTTTTAGTGACCCTCTGCCCAAGCCCCGCTTTAGCGGGCTGATGGCAGGCACCGGCCAAAGCTGACGGCAAGGAGTGCGGGTGTCTGGCTGCTCGGACGGGGGCAGGAGGGAGGGATGGTTTGTGTCTGTGCTTGTGTTTAGAAGGAGGTGACCCCACAGAAGCTACACCAGGCGTGCACAGATTTTAGGGCTGAGTCTGTCTGTCAGTTGTGGCTCGAGCAGCTTTCTAGAACCAGCCATCAAATCCTCAATTGGCAACTAAATTTCACGTTTGGGAAGCGACTGTGTCTTTGTGTGAACGAATCTCTTCTCCTCCAGTCACGGACGTAGCTGAGATGTGCAGAGCTGCCACAGTTGCACTCGGGGCCGCAGAGCCCGGCCAACCTCGAACACAAGCTTTGCGGCTACAGATTGACACGGTACCTCCAGACCTCTCCAGAGGTGTTCAGCATCTAGGTGGTACTGAAGGGGAGTTATCCGTCCGTCCTCCTGTATAGTAAAAAATCATTGCACTTTGTTTAATAACCCCTTAGCATGCTGTGTGTCTGTAATGCCCACCCCGTCTCTCTTATGTCTCTTACCATTTAATGAGAAATGTTTGCAAGTTGATTTTTTTTTAAATTTTTTTTTCCAAGGAAGAGCACAGAACAATTTGCGATTTCACACCAGTGTTAAAGGATTTACTCTGTAGTTATGGGAATGGCTGAAGGTGCAGTGAAATTGTTAACCCTGACATCCTTCTTCCCCTGAAAAGGGGGAATCACAGAAATTTACTGTATGTACTTTTATTGTCTATTGTTTTAGCTGCAGTTTTGCTGTACAAGCCTTTCAGGGTTACCGGTGCACTACAGGCCTGTTCTGGAGTTAACCCTCCCCAGAGGGCTTAAACAGAGGTGTTTAAAAAGAGAATATATGAAAAAGAGCTGGGTGAGTCTGAGCACTCCCAGCTCCTGTTAGCTTTCCTTGGAACAAACCCGGTGTCTCTCAGGATCTGACCCTGGGATGTCAGAGCAGTTTCCCCATGGCTGTTTTCTCCAGCACCACCTGAGAGCTGGAGGAGACAGGGAAATACTGAAACTTTGACTGTGTATGTATAGTTGAGAAAATAAATCTAAACTTTTTATTTTTTTCATTTTCTCAGGTCTAAGTAACATTGCCTTAAATTTACGGATGTGAAACTAATTATTTTGACAGTTTATCCCCAAGCAAATGCTTTCCTTTTCCTTCTGAACAAAATGTATAAGTGTTGCCATAGGACTCCTCTAGAAGGGGGGTAACGCTCTGTTTATATTTAGATAGGGCATCGTCCTTGCACCGGTAAATGGCAGTCTCGCTGTTAACATAGCTGTTGGATTAGTGCTAGCCTCTTTGTTTCCTGCTATGCAGGAATTCCATAAAGTGTGCATTTTATATAATGTCTGTAACTTAACTTCATGTGTTTAAAAAAAAGGAAAAAAAAAAAAAAAGAAACAAAAAGTAGGTACCTGTTGACTTTAGGTTTACTGCATCACTTCTACATCCTGTTTTTTATTTGTTTTGCCTTTTTGAAGAGGTATGATAAATAACTACCTCTTGTTTTTTCCTGTATAATCTGACTATGGATTCAATTTACAAAGCTGGCGTTGGTGCAGCTGGAGGTGCAGAACGGTTCTGTTCCCCCCGAAAGCCCGTGGTGCCATCGGCGGGCCCCGTGCACCAGCACAGCGTAGGGGCAGCGCAGGGCTCCCTCCCAGGCAACCCCCAGCTGAGGTGCAAATGTGCAGCCGCGCGCTGAGACATGGCCACAGCATAACCTTCTACCATAGCCCTGGTAGCGTTCTCTCTCACCCTGACCCTTCGACTTCAATAATTTATCCACTCTCTTTAAGCTTTCCAACACATTACCAGAAGCCTCAGCTTTTGACACCAGTGACAGTTCAGTTAGTACATTAAAGAAAAAAAAAAAGTTAATGAATGATGAATCTTATGGGTTACCTGTGAACTCTTATGACCCATACATAATATAACCAGGACTGTTTTGAATAGTCTTGGTGAATGAATGAATCTAAACTGAAATTGAGGAGTGATTTAATAAATGACTCAGATTCATCCTCAGCTGATTTCTTTCTTTGTCCTGCTGCAGCAGAGAATACGTGAGTGCCTGGTTTTCAGAAGGAGAGCCCTGATGGCTCGTGTGCTGCAGATGAAGTTACGGGTACCTTGGAGAATCAGGCCCTGAGACCTTTTGCCAAATAGATAAGACAGCCCTGAGGAGGCAGTTTACAGCTCCCACGAAGATTCAGGGAAGGTGCCCTGCTTCTGTAAATTGAATTTTCATGGGTTTTGCACATGAAAAAGCATTGTAGGTAAAGTTATGATTTGTACTAGTACTGTCAATTTGTGTGTTAATGGCATTAACTCCGTAGTTGTGGTGTTTGTGTGGCTGATCTGTGATAGCTGATGATCACTATTGGACCTTCTGTTTACACCGACTAAATCCTTTACTGTTGCGTTGTACTGTGAAAGAAGGATTATGGGCCTATAAAAGTTGTTTGGTTTTTTTTCTGGAATTGTGTGTACTGTTTCATTAATTCACACAGAAATAAATCTGTAGCAAAGTGACGATGTGCCGCTCGACCTTCTCAGACCAATTTGTTCATGGCCTTTGGCGAACAGGTAAGGCAGCAGCCATGGATGCAGATGCTGAATCCTGTGGGCTGGAGGGCAGCTGGGCTGGGGTGCCCCCGCCTGCCTTCACCCCCGTTCCTGAGACACAGCCGGGCCCTGGGGCCATCCTCCCTTGCAGGAACAGGCTCTGGGAGCAGAGAGACACTGATGTCTGCTGCAGCTCCTGCGCTGCTCTGCAAGCGGCAAACCCCGGAGGCATCACTGCTGGGTGTTTGCAGAATTGAGGCTCCTGAGCTTTCGTGGGCTTTTATGTCCTGTGCTTTTGTTGAATTTGCAATTGGGCTCGTGGCAGGTGATTCTGCTCTGTCTCCTGTCTGCACCATTTTTTTGGTGCTATGTGCTTTCGGAGCAGCTGAAGAGGTTAGTTGATCAAATCCTTTCCAATCCTACAGTATAGAGGGCACCTCAGAAACTCCAGGAGTCTGGTTTTAAGGGCTTTGATTCACGAAGGACAACCTTCACCTTTTGAACACTGTAAAAATACATTCTTCGTAGCTCTGGATCTCTGCGGGAGGAGAGCCCCCGAAACCTCGTTAAACACACTTGTTAAACACACATCCATAGCAGCGGCCAGCCTAGGGGATATCTGTTCTGCTTTCCGAAGGGACTGTGGCCTTCGCTTGGGGCGGCGAGGCCTGAGCTCCCACGCTGGGCGCTGCCATGGCATTGACCACAGCTCTCAAAGCACCGTGGGTCTGCCAGTGAGAAGGGCTTCTCCAGCCGGTCATGGGTGGCCTGTGCTACTGGAAGTCAGAGAAGTGGGACAGGAGACAATGGTGTTTATTTTGTTACTATGAAATGGTGCTAATTTCACTGTGCTCTCACACCTCAAAATCCTGACGGTCAGAATAAAAAGCTCTTATCCTGCTGGCACACTGTCCAGCCCAGGCTTGGGTCGTACTCAGGCACGTAACTAAAACAAACAAGGAGGTAGTTTAGCAATTGAACAAATGCCTTTTGGCAGCTCTTTACCCTCACAAACCCTCAAAGGAACTGCAGAACACCCCTTACAAATGAATGCTTTTGTTGAAGTAAGGTATGATTCAGGCCCTTGGGCTCACCCTTGGTGAGTGCCATCTCCAGCACCCAAAAAGTAGCTGGGACCAGCTGGGGTGCATCACCCTCCCCAACACTGGCACATGCAAGCAGGCATCCTCTGGGATGGGCTCTCTGTGCTGGGAACTGGCATGTCATTTGAGCCACGCAAAAAGATTTTGGGTAGGTTCTGTTCAGAAGCACTGGAAGAAGGGACGAGGCAGATCCCAGCATAGTCTGGGGAAGGGGACTTGCACTGCAGGTAGGTGCGTAGAGCCGCCATGTGCTAAATAGTCCCCATTTTATTAGTTCAGCTCAATTTGAGCAGATTAGGGACAGCTTTCAGTCAAGCTATCGTACCAGCTGGCTATGTTCACATGGGGCTCAGTAAAGCGCTGGGAAACAGACCAACACCAGGTATCTACAGCCTCAAAAAATCCCAGGGCTGTGTTTAGACCAATTCTGTATTCTCATGCCCAAGGCACAGACAGTCCTGTGCACTTAACCCTCTGTGTCATGCTGGGGAAACCTTTATGTGAGGTAAAATTTTAAAAAAAGCAAGTTTCTGAGTCTTCCTCCTTATCTCATTGTGGCCTGCAAGGAGCTCTTGTCCTTGCTGGGTCCTCTAGATGGCAATATTGGAAAGGACAGTAATTGTCCATCACCACCGTGTCCCTGCAGGTCCCGGCAGTGCAGAGGCTGCCAGCCCACTCCTGCTCCCATCCCTTGCCACGTTCACTGTGCCCTATGCACCATCCAACTCTAGGCTTTATTTGTAGAAAGGAGAAGACACCCCACTGCAACACCGACTGCTCTTACACCCTGAGCCCCTTTGCAGAAGCCGCCAACTTCTCAAAGAAGATGTTTGGCGTAGCAATGGCCTCGTTGTTGGCTTTGCACTGAGGAAAGGGAGGAATTTGCTAACACAGCCTGGATCTGGCATCA